GGTTCAGACACTTTTGCCTTCAGTTAATTTCATACATGGATGTTTTGTCCCTCCTTCCTGTCCTCCTAGCCTAGATACCCACCTCTCAGATTTCCTTGGAGCTGAGCCCTGGGCTTTTTGTCAACTGTTATAAGATAGTGGGGCCCAGACACCCAGTCCCAGGTGCCCTAACACACAGGACATTAGCCTAGTGCCCACAGAGTAGCTCTGTGAGACAGATGTATTACTCCCTCCCCTCCCTCTGTCCTGGACTCTCCTTTCTTCTTTCACTGGTGTAACAAACAGAAGAAAAGAGGTGATTGTTTGGGGACAAGAGGGATGAATTTGTCTGCTTCAGACAGGACCAAAAAGGCTGTTTGAAAGGGACTCGTCCTCTGTTGTGGATCGGGTGGATGGAGGGTGTCTCGCTTTTCAGAGAGAATGTGCCATGTACCGGCATGTTCGGCCTTTTCTGCAGAGCTCAGTCTACAATCATAGTGTGTGTGCCTGTGTGTATTGGAGTATGCACATCTGTTTATGTGTCCTGTGTACATCCCTGCTCCAGCATAGTTACTTGGGGACATATGTACAGTACCTGCTCAGTTTACCCCTAGACTAGTGCAAGGTTTTATATATTATTACAGTATGTGCAGCTGTGGCTCAGGGTTGGCGGTTTGAGCCCCCTGTCCTCCTGTCCACATGTCAAGGTGTCTTTGGGCAAGACACAGAACTTCAAGTTGCTCCAGCCGGCCAGACCAGCACCTTACATGGTAGCCATTGGTGTGTGTCTGTGTGTTTGTGTTGTGTGTGAATGAGAGCAATAAGTGTAAAGCGACTTGTTTGTTGAGGTAGAAAAATGCTATATACTGTAAGTGCAGTCCATTTACTATAACATTACTGATGCACCACAAATTTTATACTTTATATGCGCCAGAGACTTAGAGGTCATGGAGTTGTACTCAGCACTACATCAGAAGAAGTGAATTTACAGAATATACTGAGGGATAACAGTCTGATTGGTTGTATCAAGAGCTGTACTCACACAGTGTCCTGTTAGTGTTACTGAGAGCAGGGTTTAAATTGTTCTTTAATTGTCCTGTACCCTTTGTAACAGCTGTGAAACCCCATAAAAAATGTCGTGCCAAAATGAATCCCTTTACATTGGGTACCTTGTCCAAACCAGCATCAACACTGCTCTATATTTGTTTTTCTCAAAATAGTGAACATGTGTCATCGTATTTCATCACATTTGATTTCCTAAAATTCTCTTATTATTCACCTTGTGTTAAACTATCAGATGTGCTAGCATAGCTCATAACCCTTTTCGATAAAGGCAGCTCTAGGACTTGTTCAGAGCCAGTGCATAATTTTGAACCAGTTCTTTGTCTTTTGATAATCAAAGAACTTGCACTTGGCCAAGAAAACTGGTTCTAACTTGGCACCAACTCTCTGCTGGTCTAGAGCTAAGACACACTTACATCAGGAGCTGGGGGTGGGGTTTATCATGACCAAACACCAACTAAAACTCTGTGACTGCCATTTAAAAAAACAAACAAACAAGAGTGTAGTGTAGTCTTGTCTAGTTTTAATACCAAAGGAAATAAACAGCAATAGACCATGGAGCAGACAAACTGTTCATTAGCTAAAGACTAAGGCTAACAAAGGCTACCATCAGTTCAGTGTTAATGTGAATTGAAACCTGTTAACATTAGGTAATTACCTTTCATCTCGAACATAATCGCTGCTCATAGAAAGCACAAATGCTTTAGACCAGTCGTCTTTAGATGCCAATTTAGGCTCGCACAACCAGGAGCAAGACTACCAAGGAGACGTTGAAGTCTGCCATTGTTGTTTACTGTGCTTGCCGTTAGCATTGTGGGGAAAGCAGAGGTGTATTCAGACAGATACATGGCTTTGTGGTGGCTCTCTAGCCCACGGAAAAGCCAACTGTTTATTAGAAGGTTTGCAAGTTGAACCAGCTCCAAACCGGCTTTAGCACCAGCTCAGAACTAGCACTTAGTTCGTGTTGTTCAAAAAGGGGTATTTAATTATTTACAGTTAAGAAAATGTTCAAATTAAGAATAATACATTTCTCTTGTTGGTTTCTGCTCATTGTGAATGAAGAGAATCTGAACAAACATTTACATTTTTCACAGGGGTTCCCTACAAGTTTGAAAACAGATTGTAGAAAACTCGAGCTCCTTCCCTCTTTCATCTGCTTTATCACCCATTCTCTGCTAACTCACTCCTCTTAAGTTCATGCAGGCTTTGTTTTTTAGTTTGTTAATTGAGTTTGGTAGAAAAACAAACAGTCCAATGAGGGAGCGCGTGTGCAAAGGTGGGAACTATAAATCTCACTTGTGAGCTAATTTAGGATGATGCCCAGTCCTCAGACCCTTTCTCCCCATATGTCTTCAGAGAGGTTCACCTTGCAAAGTGACTCTTACCGCTCAGCTGCTCTTCCTTTATGGGAAGAGTCTTGCTCTCTCACTCTGTCATATTTTCAGGGAGGATGTGACATTTTAAAAGGGTCTTTGAATGAGTCTGTGGGAAGGTCTGGAGGAATGACAGAGTAAGTGCTTCCAGGGTGAGAGGTCAGGGAAGTCTTGAGAGGAGGCAGCAGGCTGCAATTGGGCTGACCTTTAACTGTGTATCATGTCAAAGTTTGCTGCTATAGCTTTAGGGCAGAGGTGTCCTTTAGCTTTCTGGGAAACTCCTGCCCTCACAGAGAGACACTTCACAACTGTAATCTGTGTCAGATGCTAAGGTTTGTTTTAGCATGTTTACATTACTGCTGATCATTTTCCAAATGATCTTTTCCTGAGGAAGGCGGGGTTATAAGTGTGTGGCTTTTCCATTCTTTGTTTTGGTCCTTAATTATGTTCATTTAAAGATTTTCTACCATGCAGGTTTCCAGGTATTAAAATCACTGTACAGGCTTTAAATCTGCTTGTGATATGTACTATTTCACAATGATTTGGTTTATAGTTTTGGTTGATATGGTTTAAAAATGTGATATTAGTTAAAAGATGTTACACTACACTACCACACCGTAATATCATTTTTAAAACCTAAAGCTGATGTGCTGCAATGAATTATCTATCTCAAACCAGGTGAGAAAGGAGAGAAAACATCTTCAACATCTAAAACATGGATCAGCAGTGATGTAAAATATACATAACTTGTTGCAAAATGGTTACAAAAATCATTATGGTCTCTTAAGAAATGTCTTATATTACTGTTTGATTAACCTCATGTAACAAACTGACAATGAGAAGGCCAATTTTATGAGTATTATCCCATGGGCAGATGCGCCTGGTTCAGTAATTGTGGGAACATATGGCTCAACCAGCTCATTTTCTGTCAACAGCACTAATCCTAACTGCTCAGTGAAGTAACCTGTTTATTAGAAAGTGGTGCGTCATGTCAATAAGGGTGAGAGGGGTTACCTAAATACATCGGTACCATAACGTAGAGCTTTATTGCAAAAGGCTGTCCCGAAAAGAGAGGATAGGGATGATTTATAGCCAGAGAGGTTGATGAGTGTGTGGTGTGGTTTATTACAAAAGCACCAAGACATCATCTGCTCACACAATGAACATGTTTCAAAATTGTTTTAGAAACATTACTCTATTTAAAGCTGTTTTTCACAGGGATGTTAAGTTCATCTCTTTCAAATGTTGTAGAGTTTTACCTGGTCCTACCAAAACCACAATAACCCATTTCTTAACCACGTGGGAGAAAGCTGAAACAAGATGAGAACACGACACTGATATATTTTCATTAGCTGCCTGTTTACAAATCGAGAAAACATGAAGCAACATTAGCATTCATTTGGAGTCGTGTTTTCTGACTAAGTCCCGTATTCAGTCTCTTTTAGCTCTGTCTCTGTTAACTCCTGAGTCTTTATCAGCTAAATGCTCCTGTGTGTTTACCAGTGAGGTGCCTGTCTGCTGTTTGGTGCTGGGCAGATAGGGGGACAGTTGAATTCTGAGACATTTTTGCTAACACCAGCTGCAGCCAACAACAGTGATGTGAGGAGGAACAAATCTGTAGTCCAGAAAATCAAAATACTGAGCTGAAACCTATATGAAACACTCAATGGGGTGGAGGAGAAACCAGAGTTGACTGAAAATTCTCTGACTGTTCATAACGTTGAGCGACCCAATTCCCATGCAACACTCATTTGATTCACTGTTTACATGAAAATAATGATAAGTGCAGCTTTAAGTTTGTATGTAAAATAAATTGTCCCAGTCATTACTGCCAGGATTCAGTGTTTTTGTTTATTATCAACAGCATGTTCTGGGCACCAGATTTTGAACTTTTTTTTGACAGGTAGCAAAAAGCAAGCATGTGCTCGCTGACTCTGATGGTAAATGTTAAATTAATATCATACAGAGGCAATAGTAGAAGATGCAGAGGTGTTCTCCACATGGTGACATTAGCACTGACTTTGGAGCAACTCATGAAGACGCACACAACAACTGTCAATCTGTCACTCCAGAGAAAAATAAGAATTCAGTAAAGAGTACAGAGCATCTGATGTACATATGATAATAGTACAAATGATTAAATAATTGTTACTGTAGCATTGATTTGTATTATTATGCAATTGTAATCATGCCTTCATGAAAGTTATTTTTTCTGTAAAATATATGTTTGCCTCTGTGTTTCTCAGATTCAGCTTTGTCACAGTATAACAACACAATTCTCAATATAAATTTATGTGTCTGAGCTCACTTTGGAGACTTACACATATGATATTGAATAGACAGAGCAATTCGAATAATGAAGTTGATCTCTTTATTTCTTACGAGTAGAAATGTTGACCAGTTCAGAGAAAGCACCTCAGTTAAAAATATATTCATAACTGGGATAACAGTATCCATATTACGATTCAGGTGATATAGTCAAAGCAAAAAAGGCAATGAAAATAAATTATTTGAATAAAAATAATTATAATAACAATAATTATAACAAAAAGTGTCAAATTAGGATTCATAAACCTTTTTGTTTGCTTGTTACTTTTGTGAAAGCTTCTTTAAAATTGTCCATGAGCAAAAAATCCAGCATTATTCATTTAACATTGCAAAGGAGGCTGCTCTGTCTGGGACGTCCCCTTCAGTCTCACACATTTACAATATTCACAGTTGTATCAACCTGTGCTGCACATACCGAACCGCGCTGCAGCTGGTCGGGCTGTCAGTGGGGACCGTTGGAGCGAAACTATGAGATGCAGTGACATTTTTGTGTTTACTGTGTGCGCCTGGCTAAAGCAGAGTCTTCCTCCATCAAAGCCGGTACCTACAGAATAGGGAGTAAAAACATCCTTTCCTCCAATGATACAACTTTTCCCCAAAATACCATTGGTCAAGGGACAATCAAGATGAAGACACGCACACTGCAAGTCTGTAACGTCTGCGTGTCCATGAAACCATCTCGGGTTCTGGATGTAGCTTTAATCTAGCCCCCCTCAGCCCATGGCCGTCACCATGTTAGAGTGGTGCGGGTGGCCAAATGACGGGTGTATCGGGGTAGGTGTAGGGAGCATGTGTCCAGTGTGACTGAAGGGTGGCAAATGGCCCATGGACATGTGTCCAGCCAGTGAAGCGGCGCTGAATGGAGAGCTCTTGTCGTGCAGGCTTTTGGAAAACTCCTCATAGCTGTCGTTGGCCCTCTTGTTCTTTTTGGATTTATTGGACATTTTCCGGTTGCGGGTTTGTATTCCCTCCTTTTTCATGGTCAGAGGTCGGTTCACCTGTACAGAGAGGTGAATAATGTGACCAAGGTTTAGAGGGAAAGTTCTGAGGTTCAAACCCACAAATGTAAAATATGCAAACATTTTAATCCATGCTTGTATGACAAGGCACAGCAATCACCCCACAACTGTAAATATAAACTCTGTATATCAGTCTGAAACCTCTTCAACCACAATATGTACATACAGTATATGTATATATATTTATAGATACAGAATTGTTTTTCCCTATTTTCTTTCCTGTTTGATTGCACATTTTCTATTTTGAATGCACACGTTTTTTATTTTCTGGTTGCCTTGCAAAACACATTGAAAACCTCTGTACTGGAGTCAAAATCCTTGTGTGTTTAAACATACTTGGCTAATAAAGCTGAGTCTGATCTGTTCTGATTTTATAAACATGGAGTGTGTCATATCCTCTTAGCTCCTTAAGGGCAGGGCTAGAAATATTTCGGTTTTTGTTATTGTCTCTAGTCTTACATACAGTACAGTACGTTCCTCCATACGTTCTGCCATCTTCTTCTTCTTCTTCTTCTTATTTTTATAAGAGCTAAATAATTTCCTAAAACATCAGTGTAGTTTTTAGCAAACAGTACTCAAACAGGATGAAATGCAGTATAAATTCAGTACTTTTTCTGCCATGGATTAATACATGTGCATACCAGTGTGGCTTGCTGAAGTGTTTTAAAATTGTTTTTGGAGAACAGTGGCACTCTGTGGCACAGAGCTAGCTATAGGTTACATCAGGCTCCGATTACATAGACAACACTTTATAGAAACAGTATATCACTGGCTTTGGCCTTTTCATGAGATTTGTTGACATTAAGAAAAATATACAACATCACCAGCCTTATCCTTTAAAAAATATGCATCTCTAGTGACCTAATAGTATATTTTGATGCCCCCAGTAATGCTGTTCATATGGAGACTGGCTTTGTGGCAGGTCCACTCAACAACAGTCCCACCATTGTGACTCTCAAGGGGATTACGCTTGCCATGGAAACAATAAGAAGGAAAACACCAATGAGTCCAACAGTGTCTGAGAGTAAAACAACCCCCACTCTCTCTCTCTTCTGACTGTTATCCCTCAACAATCAGTGTAACCTGCCTACTTCCCGTCTACTTGACCCTGCTGGTATTGTACAGGCCCACTGCTGGTGATCAGCAGTCAAAGACTTACGTTATGCAGTTTATAGTAGAGGCCGCAGGCGTTGCAGACTGGGTCTCCATTTGCATTGCGCCGCCAGAGTGTGGTGGTGGTCGTCTGACAGTTAGCACAACAGGTGCCTGCTCGTCTGGCAGCAGACTGTGGAAAAACATTGACTGAGCTTTAAATGAGAAGTCAGCAGCGTGAGCAGACAGAAGAGGCCACCTTAAGAATAAATTAACATTTCTCAATGGAGCAATTAGTTGTTTGGCCTTTAAATGTTTAATTTAAAGGCAAAAGCAGAGCTCAGTGATTTTTTTAAATGTCTGGTTTGTCATATCAGAAAAATGTTGAATGATCAGTCAGTTGTCACAATTGTTGCTGATTTTTTTTTTTTTTTTTTTTAAATGACGGGGTTCAGTGCTGTGTTGCTGCTTTTTTCTAGATCTGGTTCATGAGTACAGTACCTCTCCAATATTTTGACAACAGAATTAAACAAGTAAGATGTATCATGGGGAATATGGTACAATACACTTTGTTGTTCCCGGTACTTTTTACCATACTGACTCTGAGAGACGAGGCAGTCCAAGTAACTACAAAACAGTGCGGATTTATTCCATGAACACAGGTAAAAATTAACATTACGGACTCAGGCATCTTCCACCTCCAAACTGCACGCAAGCAGATGAAAGATGAAAGACCCTGAACCACAACAGGCCTATACATTATATCACTTTGGGCTAACCCCATTCTACACAGGAACGTCAAACCGTGACATCACCTGATATGCCAGCTATGCAGCTGACCATAGCAGTAGTCAAAGCATTAAGAAAATCAATGTGTGTGTGTGTGTGTGTGTTGATTAAGTGGTGTGTATCTAAAAACATTCTGACAGGACATTCAGTGACATGTCCTGACATTAGGCATAAGAAGATATTATGATTATGATTAAACACGTCATACAGTAATCAACTCTCTATCTAGTTATCCTTGACCATAAACAACCTGAAGTAACTCATGAAAATGACTAAGCATTTAACAGCCTGAGCTAGACATCCTGTCTACCCTAAGCATTTCTAATACAAGTACCTAACCAATATCTATCTGACTAAAAATACCTAACAATTTGTTATATCAAATGCTGACTTCACACACAGCCTACAAAGCTCTTATTTAGCCAGTTTCTACTGGTGAATGAGCAGCTCCAACAGTTTTATGTCATCCCTGAGGTGGGCTTATTAACAATACAGAAAATGAATACAGTTATCTGCACACTCGCTCAAAATTCGTCAGTAATTGTAATATTTTAATTGACAAAACGAGTTGTTTGATACTTCTAAGTTTTCCCTAAGGATCTTTCTCTATAGATGCAGTGTAGTTAAGGAAACTGTGTCTGGCGTCATTTCTGCTTGGTAGTTATTCATCAGCTTCCATAACTTTCCCAATCCTCTCTTTTTTCACTGTGCCGTACCTCACTCTGTCATGGACGGAGGGTTTGACCACTAAATGAGATCTGAGCCTATAGTTAGGAGGCAGCAGGAGGCAGCAGGAGGAATAGTAGACAGGCCCCGCTGCTTTATCTGGACCGGTCAGACATCCGGATAGGAAACAACTGGAAGGCTGTTGCCGCTGAACGCAGGGCGCACTGGAGCACTGCGAACCCTGGCCGTGCCATACGGAAACCAGACCTGATATATGGCTGTATATACATTTATAACATAAAAACGCCGAAATACACACTCGTATAGTTTATGACACTGAGCCTTGCAGGCCTATTTGTCATATGTAGACTCAAAACGGCCTGCGTTATCTGACCGTCTGACAAATGCAGGTGCATTTGGTTTCCCCCCTGAAATTCATCCATTTCCTCTGAAACATCACAATATTCGCGAAATATCATCTTCTGCCAATAAGTCTTTACTTTTCCCGCTATTAGACTTTTCTCTGTAGACATCTTTAATCTCATTAGCACTGCTTTAAGATCTGCCTTGCTTGTTTCTCGATGTAAAAGTCTGATGGCTGCACACAATTCATTAGGTAATCAGGTCCTGCTGCAGAGGGTTGCTTTTCTTTATAATTATTATGAGGATCTAGGAGTAAGCAGCCTATTTCATGTCAGTTATTATTTTAGTAAAGTTGCTGTTGATAGGAAAATATCAAAGTGATCGTTCTATTCTTGTTGCCTGGCTTTAAAGTAATTCACTAGATGTTATTGAAATGGTGACTCTCCCTAACCAGGTGTTGACTTTCTGGCTAAATGTGTTTAAATAATTATGAATTACTCTGTTGAATGAGTGTGACAAGAGGTTGGGGGACACGTTGACGTGTAAAGCACTGCATGGTGGAAAATACTGGTCTTTAATCAAATCTTTGCTCTGATCCTGCTGCTCTGCTGAAAGCCCCTCATCTCCGAAATGTGAACTTCAATGAGCGGGTCTTATTTTCTGTTTTGTGACAGGAGGGTTTTCACACAACCCAGTGGCATTTGAATGGTTTGTTTAGACGCAGACACTTAACTCCTTTGGTTTTTTAGAAACATTCACAAATTTGGAGACGTGGTTTTTAGTAGACAGTGATACTCTGCTCCCCACATGTGAAAATAAAAAAAAATTCAAAATACTCATTGGGCCACACTGCAGCAGCATTATGAGCCATAACATGTCAGAGAGGCCCTGTGTTGTGTTGAGGGATGGCGTGCTGGGCCCACTATCAGTGACGGTATCAGAAACAGCAGCAATAATGATAACAGAAACAACAGAGATTGTCCCACTCTGCTAACAGTTTGAGCTGAAGGAGCAAGAGGTGAATAAGAAAGACAATTCCTGGAAACTGATTGAGAAAATATAACTTTCCTGGCATTGTACCTCCAACCCCCCTCTCCGTCCACATTTTATGCACTGCCATCTCACAACACACACACACACACACACACACACACACACACACACACACACACGAGGTGCAGTGGATGGGACTCACCAGTCTGCGTTTGGGTTTGATGAGTGGTCTGTTCTGGCCGTTCATTTTGTGATACAGCCCGCAGGCATTGCACAAGTAGTGTCCAGTGCTGTCACGTCTCCACAGAGGCGTCGAGGTGGCTCCACAGTTTACACACTCACGGCCCTCTGAAGAGAAACACACACTGATATTTGAGACATCAAACATCGCGCCTGCTTGTTCTGCCTTACAGTGACTTTTATTAAATGTCATCAAACTGTTACAGTTTTATCAGCTGTTTGAACAAGAATTTATTTCCTGATATACTTTTCCCAACACATGTGCTTGTGCATGTCTGTGTGTGGACACATTAGATTTCAATGGTGAGGCGGTTATTTGTTTGAACTTCTCAGTTTTAGCCCAACAATACATTCCCACACTTTCCACATTCAATCACAGATCAAAGCACTTAGTGTGTAAAACTTTAGTACCCACTGACTCTGAGAAAGAAACAGTGTCTGCATACTGGAAAATAAAAGGACGTTTACAGCACACACTTACATTAGCAGAGACACAAAACAGCTCAGTTTATTTGTTCACTTTTTAACAGATTTTGCCACACAGGGTAAAACTGATGATGATGAAGAATATGTATTTTTGTAAACCAGCGAAGTGATTTAATTCAATTGTACAAAACAAATTCATAGATTTTTGTTGAATATCTTTTATCTTTCAAAGCTCACAAAGCAAACAGCTCATTAAAGCAAAATAATAATAATAATTCCGGTGCCTAGTTTTGGATTTTTTTGTTTTAAAATATTTTGCAGACAGTTAAGCTCATATTTAACTGAAAAACAAGTTATTCAAAGTGAGTGTAGGTTATCTTGCTGGTTCAACTCGATCAGGTTTGAAGTCTCCTGGTCTGTAATCAGTTAACAATCAGGACAGTGTATTAATGTTTTATGTAACAGAGAAGCAGCTCCAGCCTGGGCACTCAGGGTTTGGCTCTGTGCGCCACACACCTCTGCGCTGGATCCAGATCAGGCGTAATTAGAGTCACGGTTAGCAGAAGAGGATTATCAAAGTCTCTCCGTGTTGGAGAACAGTAGAGTGCAAGCTTAGGCCTCTGAAGCCATTTATAGGAAGACAAAAACATTCGTGTTATAATTGTCATGGTTATACTAACCCAATTTCCAAAATAATAAACAAAGCTGATGATGCGTAAATCACAGTCTGCACATTGTATTCAGTGGCTCCAAAGAAATGCATCTGGTAACGTTCCTCATCTAACAGGATACACTAAATGGCTTTTATGGGGTTGTTATAATTGAAACGGGCTAATACAACAGGAAAGTATCCTTCCTGACAGGTTTGTCAAACACGTTTTTCTTTAACGCCTTTGTTTTTTTATTTCAATAATTAAAATCATTTTCTTCTCGTTCATCTTATTCTCATTAAGACTTGTGAGGATATTTTATATTTGCTGTGTACCACTCATAAACGAGTTTGATTTTAATTGACTAATTGTGTATATTTGTGTTTTCATATGTAACAGGATGAATTTTCTGTGGTTTGTGAAAACAATGCAGAGAGCGATGCAAAGCAGATTTATATGGTAAATCACCAATACACATAATCTACAATAGAGTGTCACATGAGATATGGGTTCTATTAATTTACCCTGTAATTGCATGTGAGTGACTCGCATTTATTTTATGTTCTAGCTGGAGTTAGTGCCGTGAGTTTCCAGGGGACTCACCGGTGCAGGACCGTGTCTTGCCTTTGTTCCTGGGGGTGAAACTGGATGAAGCTCCGAGCAGGCTGCCTGGGTGAAACAGGCTGCCGCCGCACTCATGCGCCGCTGGCAGAGAATAGGTGGGATACGTAGGTATCGGATGGTGGGTGGGAGTCTGAGCATTCATGGAGACCAGGCTGCTCCTCAGCGGGCTGGAGCCTTCCATCTTCATCCCCTCCGGTAACGTCACTTGGTATTTGATAGATTCCTTCTCGTCCATTCTGGCGGCGGAGGACGGGGGAGACACGGCCCCCGGGTCCGGCGATACGTCCTTGGGTGGTGTAGGAGGGAAAGTGTACATATGGGGGCTAGAGTGGGACGGAGGGGTTAACGAGGATGCGGAGACCGTGTTTGAGCTGCTGCTACACGGGTAGACGGCAGAGAGGCCGCCGGGGGACGCGGAGCCGGGGTGGTGCAGACTGGGCTTGGTGAAGGGGCTGACGGCCCAGGCGTTGTGATGGTGAGCCGACAAGGTTGTTTTCCCTCCGTCCAGCCATGAAATCCCTGGGCTGTGGATGAGATGAGGCCGGCAGACCTGAGTCCCCGTCAGACGAGCTGTGAAATAACCGAACAGCAGCGTATTTATTACGGAGAACACGCCAGGCTGATTGAGCTTTTACTGAAACTGGGCTGTTTTCTGTGGTATGAAAGTTTGGATGAAAACATTAACTGAGACTTTTTGATTCGCTGGGCACACTGGCCTGATTTAAACGTGTAAATACAGTAGCCAAAACAACCAAAAATGCTAAGCAAGTAGTGCATTTTGCAGTAAAACATGTATTTAAAATAGCAGTTTCCTCATTGCTCTTGCGAGTCGCCTTATGTAACGAGGCCTGTGTTATTGGGCCGAATGTCTTAGAAAAATTTTAATCACTCAAAATGCAGGCTAGTGTAATGTCAGCCACATAAACAAACCAGTTTATCATACACCGATAATTCACATTTCAATAAAGGTTTGACAGTTTCAAACAGCACAGTGCGCGCGTCATGTTTAATACAGAGATAGAAAATGTATATGCAATTAAAACACGTATGCTATTGTTTTCAGGGTTTTTAGAAAAATGTTTTTGCTTTGCAACTCAAACCTTTCAAACTCTAAAGACAACTACGATTTTCTGTCTTATGTAGAGTATTTCTTAAAGTTGCTGCCCCGTGTTAGCTCCATCTTACCGTGCGCTTGGCTGTAGGACACTCTGGCCCTGGCGGAGTTGTGGTAGTACGGGTTTCCTTGTGAGTCCAGGTGATTAAAGAACACATCCACCTCATCCGGAGGCAGTAGCTGGGCCGTGGGCTCCAGGTAGTTGTGCCCCAGGCCTGGGTGGTGAGAATCCGGGTGCTGTCCGTTTAGCACGGCGTGGTGATGCATCCATCGGGGCTGATCAGCCGCCACATCCATCTCTGTGGCTTTCTGTAGCGCGGTTTATAAAGTCGAAGGATATCCAAGGAGATCACACAGGATGGTTTAAAATATCTGCCCTTTACGAGAACATTTAACAAACTAATACTTTGTTTTTGTTCCTCTGAGTGAAAGTCCTCTCTCCTCCTGGACATGCGAGTGGAGTGGAGTGGAAACCTGCAACAAGCAAACATCAGATATTAATATTTAAAAGGTTTAATATTCATTAAACTGAGAGCTTGTGGAGTGCAAAGTGCAAACCAAACAGATCATCTCCACACTGCTTTTTCACTAATAACATTTCCACTCGGTGACAATAAGATAAACACGCCTTACCTTTGCCGACGGTGTCTCATCCACAGCGTCCGATCAGCTCACGCCTTTTTGGAAAGCTGCTCTGTGTCTCTTTGCATGCTGCAGGTCCTCCCCAGTTTTCGGTTGCGTTTGTCGGAGTAAACTCCCAAAGCAACACGTATGGCTGTGGCTGACAGCACGGGGCCAGGCTTGTCAACTAGCACATGGGCGGAGTCTCCAATCAAACTGACTCAGCCAATTGCGCAGCGCCTCTACAGAACCTCACAGACAGCATCCCCCGACCACAACATCACTCAGATGCTTCTATATATTCATCTAGAGAGACAGGGAGAGACTCCTTAGACCAGGCCTTGTGACTGTTTCATCACCATTCTTGTAGTACGCTGTATATTTATTGGGTTGCTTATTAAGCTCATCTGCTCTGTGACTATGATTTTTTTAAGCTTGTGACACCTGTAAAGACTGATGCTTTATGTCAACGTGTTTTTTTCTGTCTGCATTTCCTTTTGTCTCACTGAACAATGGTTCAACACAGCTCACAGCTTCTAACACTGTTAATCTCATATTGTGAGGATACATTGGTCGGTACTAATTTGAAGAGTTTTAATTTGACCAGAGGTGTTCTGTTCTTTTTTAAGCAAACCCTGCGTTGTGTGTGTTTTGGAGCTTGCATGGTTAATAATCCAACTACTCCTTTTATATGTAAGTGATGAACTCTTCGTCCAGTGGCTCTTGTATTGTTTCCTATCTTTGACCTGAGTCTTTGACTGTTTGACCTTATTTCTTCTCTGATGTCGGTCTTTAAAAGTTCAGTCTCTCTTTCTCTCTCTAAAGGCGCGTGATTGACAGATCATAATTGTAAAGGGAGCGCGCGTGAAGCACTGTCAGGCAATCGCCGCCTGCTCGACGCCGTTTCCTGACATCAGTGCATCTTAGAGAAGACGAAGAAGAAGAAGAAAATCAGATGAAAAGCTGATTCAGGACATGAACTTCTAACACGGAGAGAGGGAGACGGGGGTTGCCCGGAGCCTGCTGTAATCCCAGCGGATGAACTCGAGGAAGGACAGTGCAGCTGATGTTTACACTGTGGCAACACTGCATGGCAAACTATGGGCACAGTGGGCTACTGAGATTAGATTAGATTAGATTAGATTAGATTAGATTAGATTAGATTAGAAAACTTGAAAGACGTCAAGGAGAAGATTCATTTTAAAGAAACCCACCCATAACATGTGCTGGGTGTATTTGGTATAGTCTCCATTTTACTGCATTATGGCGAAATCATTCTATCTATATCTGTTTCTCTTCACCATAAAATAATAACAGTTTTTAAAACAATTTTAAACATTAAACATAATAATTTACTGCATTTTATCATCCCACATTAAGTCCAAAACAAAAACCTCATATATTTAGATCTAAAGCAGGCGATATAAGGAATAAAAATAGGGCTAGCATCATTTATACCAAGACAATACATCTTTCCAAACAGTAAGAGGACATCTACCGTGGACCATACCAGAGGGACAGGCGTTGCAGTGTTAGAGCTCATCAGCATGATAATGTGAAATACACATGCTCTGAGTGTGTGAGCCCTTTTGATCTGGCGTGGCGATAAAACCTTATCGGCGGTGAACATCCAGTCTCATTTTAGAAACTGACATTAATTCAATCCGCTCTTTTTAAACTGCCTTTTTTTTCACATGAGCCCCGGAGAGAGAGAGGGGGGGGGGGGGGGTCGGGTTCACCCGAGAATCTCATTACAGGACTACCACTAAAAATCAAGTGGCTTTACCTAATAATATAGATAAATAAAAATGTAATGCCACGACAGTAGCCTATAAAATACAAACAATGGTAATACGATTATTAGTACCCTACTGGTCTTCATAACAAGTCATATTTAGTGTTGTGGTGCTGTTGCTTTTAACACATTTGTTTAGAAAAGTGTTTTCTGCACTAAGAGTACGTCCCACTGTGTGTTTGCGTATTTTGGGTGTGAAAAGACAAATCCAATGATCTTCGGGTCCCACTGATTATAACCCATCCAGGGGTGATTTTTCATCGGTGCTGGCTAATCTTTGTTCTCTGTGAAGATAATAAATAGCCTAATCGTTATCAGCGAGCTGCTGGAGGTGTCGGGGAGAATGGGGCTGATCGGCCCGGGAAATAGGCTCCAAAGTGCCGCGGAATAAATGGCATTTCTTATCTCTCCCTCCCAGATTATCACCGCCTTTTCAACCTCGCACAGCAAATACATCTATTGTGGGGATGCATCATTTACTGGGCCAGTGTGAATGACTGATATATAGATAGATAAATAGATAAAGCGTTAGGGGTTAGTACATGCAGGAGAGAAATCATGGTGTCCGGGTTTATTTACAAGTGTAATGTTCTGCATGTGCAAAGTCTCGGTGTATTTAGACAGCACAAAATACAGCCCGACTTTCCATTATTTTTAGGTTATCAGCGGGAGCCATCTGAGGTTCCGGGTCTTTACTGTGGGATCTTATTTCTTTCATGTTGGATTTTAGTGGATAAGAGCTAAACAGACGCAGCGCTTCCTCCCAGGGAAAAATAGATTTGAATAATGTTTTCATGTGTTGGAAATTTTTGCAAATAGCAGGGGAGCAACAGCGGCATTAAGCCAGGGAATATAAACGGTCTGGTTACAAAAGGGCCCTGTTAGATTTATGGGTTTAAATCCATAGGCCACGAGTGTGAAATTGGTTTTATTTCATTCTATTTTAGTTTATTTTATCTTGGATTAAATCCTACAACATTTTATTAGGTGTTTTCATTGCGATCTTGAATTGTGATGGTTTAAATACTGTAAAGATGATATAATTAGGCAATTGTCCACAGTCCTATTATAATTGATAACAGCTCTAATTACAAAGGGATCGAGCCCTTTGTAATTATAAGTGTTCTATCCTTTCTTCCAAACAAACAAAACTGGAAAACTGTTCATTTCCAAGTTCTGGTATGACTTCAATTTAGACACAAAAGTTTGAAACGCAAAAGTGCGTGAATAAGATGTTGATACTGTTGATTAAAGTCACTTTTTCCCCAACACATAAGCGGCAGTTTTATGTCTCATACAAAGAATAAAAATATGTAATTAGTGTCCTTTGAGCACAAGACTGAAGAGGAGCATATTCAGTGGTATTAAAGCATAAACCTTAGTGTGTGCACAAGGAGCGAGGAGGTTTTTCTTTTCCTCCAATATCCTATACACAAACGGCCTAATAACTTGCTGCTGCTGCAGCTCTGGGTGCTGCTGATGGTCTCCAGAGTAACAGAGATAACAGCACAGTCATTTTCCATATCTTAGGTCTGTTCAGGGATTAGTTCTCCTTCCCGAAAAGGTCAAACCTAAAGTCAGACCAGCCAGCAGTGCTCCTCCTCCGCCTCCCTTCTCCTTCTACAGTGACAAAGCATTCCCCATTTTTTCATATTACCTAATTTAACCAGTGTGATGACCTTTGCTGACGCGCTTTGATTGATTCAGCTCTCCCACAAGAAACCTCCGTGAATCCTCTCTTCTCACAAAGACTTCTGTGTTTGTGGTGAACAGTGATTTTTATTTTATTTTATTTATTTTTTGATCTCTCAGTGTTTCCGATACATTGACCGCCACGTATTGTTGTAAAATAGGTTCAGTCTTATTTCAGTGCAGTCCGTGCGCAGCGCGTGTGCTCGCCCAGACCCTCCGTGCCTTGGCCCCTCAGTCCAGGGGAATATCGAAAAACACACCTGGGAAAGCTGATCGGTCCAATCAGAGTGATTAACGACCCAAATGAGTCATTTAAATATTTATTGGCTCAGGAAGAGATGGAGATGAAGACAGAGATGTACGTTGAGGAGAGGATGAGGGCAGCAGCGGCCAAGATACGAGTTGAAACTTCTGTACTATGAGCCTAAGATTACAGTTACTTAACCTCCTTTAAGAGACAAAGATAGGGCCGGAAGTAGCTCATATTGTGTGTGTGTGTGTGTGTGTGTGTTTGGCAGGTCCTAAGAGAGGTTCGAGTTAGTGGAGTCAGTCAGATGCTGCAGGTGATGTGTTTCATTCTGTCAGTGTTTTGGAAAAATACAACAAGGATGAACAAATCAAATGTAAAAAAATAAAAATAAAAAATAAAAATGTAAATTTTATTAATACTTCATTTTTTACATTTACATTTGTTATTTTATTATTATTTTTAATTCAATTAAAGTGACACTTTTAACTCAGTTTAATTTAATTCTTAATTTCATGTAGCTTTACTATATATAATATTTTATAACAAGCAATATTATATAACTTAACACTGATTTATTAAATTTTATTTATTTACATTTAAGTTCTTTGGATTTTTTTTTATCCTCTAACCATATCCAATCAAGTTTCTTCTCGTGCTACATTGATGATGTGGATGTTTCGTTCTCTGAGACACATGGGTTACCTGTCAACAGTTCACTGTAGTGATAGTGAAAGCAGCAGTATATTCATTCAGAAACTCGGTGTCTCAAACCTTTTCCTACAGCAATTCATTTAAGTGGACTCCTAATGGTAAGATAAGACAATTGGACCACTAGTGTTGAAATAATCAGGTGGACAGTGACACCTAGAGGAGAGGAAGTGGCCTCTTCATCCTCACACTCCAGTATGGAAGGTGCTGCCGCCTCCTCACTTAATTAGCTGAAATATTTCATCCAGAATGTCAACAGTGGATTTGCCTTCCCATTTATATAACCTGGTTTTGATTAATGAAACTTTACATTAACAAACTTTTCTTAGCACAGATGTGACTTTGAGACTAGACGTTACAGTTTAGCCTGTGGAAACATGTCCCGTTTCTCCTTTGTGTTTTTTGCTCCAGATTACTTACAGACTGGTGATAAATTAAAGGACAACCCTGAATCAGCGAGGGAATAAACATAATAGAGATACTTCCATGTAAGCCACGGTGAGTCAATTGAGACAACTTTTTTTAACTTTGACTAAAGGTACAGTTGCATCACGCATACTGTATTTCACTGAAACTGGCTACTTGATCTCTTATTTCACCATGTATAGTCTTGATGGGGATCTATAAGTCATTAGAGGTCAGAGGTTCACTGCTTCACTTCCTGGCCAGAAAGCAGCAGGAAGCGAAAGTTTACTAACAACCTGCCAGTCAAACTGTCCAGGGAGTTGTAGAATTCAAAATAGCCCTTTCTCCTCTCAACCTGTGACTGTTCATCACATTGTGCCTTTACTTTGTCTTTACATGATTCTAGTTCCTGTGGGAGT